AAAATCCACAACCTCGGGTTGTGTGTCATTACTCTAAAAGGTGAGGTTCGCTTAGGGAGAGTTGAGGATGTGTGAGTTTGGGTTCCACAATGACCAAGGTATTTGAGAAAAGCTCCTTGATGAAATGAGTCAACCCTTGATGCTCTTGTGTCACATTTGATCCATAGTTCTTAAAAGTTTAAAAATGTGTTAATGATGCATTCGTATTGAGGGCAATTGTTAGTCCCAATTGATGCGTGATGAGGCTTCCTTAGGATAAGCTGGAATTACTTGGATGTTTCCTTTTGAGGGGTGGGTCTTATTTTATTTGCTTGAGGACAAGCAAAGGTTTAAGTTTGGGGGAGTTGATAACTGTGATTTTAACATGTTTTATGCCCATACTTGCCTATGCTTTATGTATGAATTGTCATAAAATAGACCCAGAATGCTTACAAAGTGTGCTTGATTGCAGGTTTGAGCGACAAGATGAAAAAGTCAAAAATCGGTTCGAAACGGAGTGAAACCTGCTCAAGTGTCAAAAATCATAGAAGTCGGGACAAGAGGATCTAGCGCGGACCGCACTGATTTTCTGCTCGGCCGCTCTAGGAGATTCAGAGAGTATACATTTCAAGGGTACCATGCGCGGTCCGCGCTCCTTTCTACGCGGTCAGCGCTTGTGTCCACGCGGTCGCGCTTCATTGTTGCGCGGTCCGCGCCCATTAACTTGCGCGGCCGCGCTACCTCTTTGCGCGGTCCGCGTCCCCAGCTTCAGAAGTGAGTGATCGAAGACCAAGACCCCTACGCGGCCGCGCTGCATTTCTGCGCGGTCCGCGCCAGCCCCGTAGGGGTATTTTTGTCCAATTTTTCTAGGCTAGTATAAATAGAATATTTTATTATTTTTAGGTTAAGCATTAGATATCAGATAGCAGCTGCACTCGTGAGACTCAAGTTTTAGCCTATTTTGGGCATTTTCATCTTGTTTTATCGTGGATTCTTGTAGATTAACATTCTAGTTAATTAATATGTTGATTTTATCTACTACTTCTTCAATTTCTGTTGCTATTATGTCTAGCTAAACCCATTAGCTAGGGTTGTGGCTCAACCCTAGTGTGGGTAATTAATGGGTGTGATTGTTTAATGCTTGAATGATGTTGGGTGTTTGCTATTTGGGTTAATTTTATGATTTAACTAGGATTTGGTGGTTGCAAACACTAAGTCTAGCTTTGTGGTTCTTGACTCTTCTTGAGAAAGAGTGTCTATGACTCCAAAATTAACCCAACAAGGAATTGGGATGGACCCATGAGAATGGTAGTCCCAATTAGCGGGTTAAACCTCGAGAGAGAGTAATTACCCAACTTGAACCCTAAGTTGCTTGGGCTTGTTGGCCTACCCACTTGGTCTCGAGAGAGTCAATTGGGCAAAATCACTCTTTCTACCGAGAGGTGTGAGAGTGAGTGCAATCGTGCAACGGTTATAGCATAAGCCCCATAATCATCATTCTTGTATTAGGAATCTCTGCCCGTTAGTTGACCACCTAGGTAAATGCCACGACCCTAGTGTCTTTCTCTATCTTGCATACAACCTAGAATTAATATCTTAGCATAATTTAGTTATAATTAGTAGTTGTTAAATTGTAGTTGATAATCATAAAAACCCAAAAATGTTAGAAGATCAATTAGAAGCAAATACGCATTTCTAGGGTAAGCAAATATCCAACTCCCTTTCTAGCTCCTGCGGAAATTGACCCCGATACCACTATTGGGTAAAAGTATTAGCCCCACTCTTCCTAAGGTTGAGTCCGCTGCGATCAGCCATTACGGTCCCGATGGTGGAAAATTCGGGTCGTGACATAATGTTAGATCAAGATGCACAAAATGCTTTTGGAGTGTCACGAATTCCCCATATTTGTCTAAAACAGATCGTGTAAGGTGGGAACGTAAAAAACTTTTCACCCCTTTTGGATTAAATATTAATGACTATTTGTTAAAGAGCATTTGAAAATGTTGGATATCTGGATTCCAATGTTTAAGAAGAATTTCTTAAGATATATACGTCGACAATGTTATGATCATTTCATAAGTCTTCTATGTGAAAAGAAGATAGAATAGATTGGGATGTTGGATATATGGATTCCAAGGTATCATATATGTTTTATTTTTAAATAGGCGTTTATTATGTTGTTCATGCATTGTAAAATATCATTAGAATAAAATAATATTCCTGAACAGGGATGACCATAGGGTGAGGCGATGTAAGGTGGATTAAGTCTTCCCTTGCCAAAAAATTTCCCTACCCTAACCTGCCCCAATTAGTCCTCGCCCTATTTAGATCTCGCCCTGCCCTTCCCCATTGAGCTCCCTGTTTTCAACGTTACTTTGGGTATTATATACTAATAAATAGTGATTTGGTCTTACATTTAAGTCTTTATGTAATATTAGGAGAGGTGAATGTAATTTAATCAAACCTACAAATGAATTCTTGCAATAACTTTTTAGTAGGGTGTGCAGCTTTGAATTTTATACTATTTAGTACCTTTTGAGGATACATATAACTTATAAGTTCTTTTTGATGTTTTTAAAATAAAATTTATATACTAATAAATAGTGATTTGGTCTTACAGTTAAGTGTTTGTTTGTAATATTAGGAGAGGTGAATGTAACGTATTCAAACTTATAAATGAAATTCTTGCAATATCTTTTTAGTAGGTGTGCAGCTTTGAAGTTTAAACTATTTAGTACCTTTTGAGAGTATACATAAAAGTTCATTTTGGTGTTTATAAAATAAAATAGAGAAAGAAGTGTATAGAAATGAGTAAAAGTCTGTTTCATTTAACGTTTTGTGATTATTGTACATTTAAACAATATTATAATAATAGACAAGCATTTAATTCAAATAAAAGAAATATTTGACGAGGTTATCTTTTGCTTTAGATTAAAAAATCGAAAACCACATAGCATATTTTACAAAGCTATCATCATTTTTTTGCATGAGCTTGTTATTTCTTTTGAGATATACGTAGTTAATATTACATATCCAAGTACATATTTAGCAATTTATAAAACAAAAGAAAAAATGAATGTTACGGAAAGCAAGCTCAAGCTACCAAATGGTCCACTATTTGGACTAAGGGCTGATATGCCACCTGCCCTAAAGTTTGTCCTACCTTGCCCGCCCCGCCCTAGTTACTTGTTCTCCTGTCACACCCCGTTAAGTGTTTCAAATCCCCTGCCCTGTCCAGCCCGCCCCAATTGCCTCATGAACTCTGTTTATTAAATTTACATGTTTCTATTCATTCGTTCTTCTTCTCTAATTCCTCTCAACTTTGCAACATGTAACTAAATTTTGTAAATTTATAGATATTGGACTGCATCTCTAATCTTCCTTTCAATTTACTTGAGGGATATAGTATTCACTAATATGTAGTCACATACAAAAAAACTATGGAATTTACGACTATTGTGAACCTAAGCACTTGATTATTGGATGAAAGGAAAGCTTATGTATTTGTTAAAATTTACTTTTCCTTTTAAAACAGTGAAGTAATTTGATGTTTCAGCGATGAAATTTGATTGTAACAAAGTCTAATTGAGCAATTAACCTTCATGTCGCCGAACATTACCTTTGCCACTAGTCATTCTTCTATCACAAGTCACTAGCTCCACTTTAGCAGAGAAAAATAATACAAAAATATGATACATTTTTGGTCTTTAACTTTTAACTTCCACTTCTCCTATGAGCTAGGGGTGAGTATCGGCAAGTTCAGTTTGATTGTGAATATTATCTGTTCGAGGTATCGGTTACTGATTTATAAATACGCTAAATCGTTAATCGAACCGATAAGATATTGATTAGTTGGTTATCGATAGTTATCGGTTCGGTTGTCAATAGTTATCAGTTCGGTTATCGATTTACCCGATATATATATATATATATATATATATATATATATATATATATATATATATATATATATATANTCCATAATTTTATTATATAAAAATCGTAATCATACCGTTAAGAGAAATGAAATACATTTTTATTCTCAATAAAAGAGCGATTAAATTTCAATTTTAGATTTTTTTTTTTTTTTTTTGCATGTGAAAACCCCAATGAATGATTTTAATTTTCAAATAAGTTAGTAGGAATAATTAATAATACATTCAACAAACTAATCTTACTAACTACAGAAAAATGGTAAAATCTAATCTTGTAAATGCTAAAGAGTTAGTGAGGAAGAAAAAACTAAAAATCTGAAAATGAATTCTTTAAACGTTAAAACTAAAATATATGAACTGAAGAATAAAGATGAGAAATTCAGAAAGTTTAAAGAAATCAAGCCTTAAGGTGGCTTTATATACTTAAGGGTATAATGATAATTTTGATAAAGCTTATTGAGTTATCGGTTAAACCGTTAATAAAATTGGGCAAATCAAGACCCGAACCGATAAATCTAATGTAGTCAAATAGCATTAAACCATTACCGAATCATTAGCCGAATAATCAGATATCGATAACCCAATATTATTTTTTCGGTTCTAGCTACCAATTTTATCCGATATATACTTAGCCTTACCATGAGCACAACTTTTAGGTCAAAAGTTAAAATTGTTGCCCATAAGGCAAGCGAGGAACAATACTGTTAAATATAACGTTTTGCCCATGAAACAAGCAGGGACAAAAAATTAAGACCAGCCCAAAAAGCCCAGAAAGTATCATGCAATTTTTTTTGACACTCTACCCTCTTTATCTTAAAATTAATCCAAAATTAAATATCACAAGCAATATTTCATAAAATATTTAACTTTGCAAACAGATTTGGGTATTATCACTTTTAGCTTGCGCCAGAAACTATTTATATTTAGTAGTCGAAAAAATATATAAAATTTGTATAACATACACAATATATATATATATACAAAAAATATATAAATTTTTTATATTTTTAGGCTAAGCCCTTCGATCAAATGGTAGTCCCCAGCCCCAGTTTAGATATTCTATTCGTCAACGGGGTCATGCTCTTTGAGTGAGATAGCGTTGACCACCTGATTCAGATAAACTAGGAACTAAGACTGCATCTTTTGACACATGAAAATATCCTAATTTACGATGCCATAACTTGACTTCGAAGTATTCATGGCCTGTTATTTTTAGAGCAGCTAGACAATGTCATTTTTCGACAGAGAAGAGGGATACAGGCATACAGCAAGGCAAGTTTTGATAACCTGAATGGAAGGATCGCTCTAACGGACAGGAATTGTTTCGAAGTATAGCGGGCTGGATAAACAGCAAATAAATAGACCCAAATTCAAACTCCACCCACTCTTAATTTCTCGCCAACATTAACACTGCCGCTGTCTTCCTCTGTTGCCTCCTCTTCATCTCTTTCTGCCGCCAAGTCCCTCCTTCTGCGTAATCAGTTAGTTTGTTTCTCTTTCTCTGTTTCACGATATTTTTCTTTACACACTTTGCAATAATTTTTAACGATAAAATACAAATCTTAATAAATTTTGGATTATAATGCCGTGTTTGTTCCATTGCTTAACAAAGCTTATAACTACTTCCTTGTGATTTTTAAAAATAAATATTTGTTCTTATTTTCTTTCTGTGTGATAACGGCTATACTAAATTGAGTTTGAGTAGTAATGATAAAATTTCTGAAAATTTAAATACGTAACTAATTTTGCAATAATACCTTTCTTATGTGATTTTCAGTTTCAGGTAGAGTATTTTCTTATCTGTTTTGAAGAATAGGAGAAAATGAAGGGCTATATGGAGGATAGTAGAGTGTTGCTATCTTAATTGAAGCAGCAAGATAATGACCTAAGGCTCAAAAGGAGGTAACTTTTTATTTTTATCTTCAGACCTTAACTTAACTCTTAGTTTAAAATGTAATACAATGCTGCGGTCAATTTTTTTTTTTTTTTTGGGGGATGCCGATGGTGTCTGGGCCAAGCTTGCACGCACCTCGACTATCTCATCGGGTACCTGCTACCTCCCACTAGTACTGGTGTCAGGTAACTCTATCCACCAACACTTGGACATACAGGAAGAAATCACCTTGTTTTTGCCTCCATTGTGATTTGAACTTGAGACCTCATGGTTCTTAACCTACTTCATTGGCCTAGATTCAGATACTGTTAGCACATCGATGAACTTTGCCAATTAATGATTGTAACATTCGTTTTGCTTAGTACTCCCTCTTTCTCATTTTATATACGTGTTTTACTGGTTTTATTAGAGATATGGCCATGGAAGAAAATATTCAAGTAAGAATTGAAAAATTAGTTTGATAGACAAAACATTATAAAGTATTATAGTTTTTTAATATTTGCGCAGCCTTTGTCCAGTTTATACAAGTGAAATAAAATTTACTTATAAAAAGAAGTTGAATAAATAAATGAATTCAATGTAAGTTTCTGTAGAAATAAGTTGGTGTCAAACATTTTAGGACGTTCAAAATGGGTGGAACGAGAGCGAAAAAAGATGGAAAGATTCAAACCTCACGGTGATATGTGAGAACCTTCTTTTGTCTTTAAATTTTTTATATCTTTTTGTAAAAACTCTTCTTTTCCACTTCTTGGGTTATGTACGTCCTAGTTAGTAATAGTATCTCTCCCTAGAAAAGGCATGTTAGTCATTGTACTGCTTTCATATTATTGAATATTTGCAAAATTGACTGTTCAATTGAATGCACGGATATTGGGATGCAATTGTCTGTGAATTTCATTATAGTTTTCTGGACTATCCCTTTGCGAAATTTTCGTCTTCTTTTATTAGCTTTGGCTAAGTCAGGGAATTCGTGTTAAAGAACACTTACTGGGTGTTGTGATTCTTCATTTTATAGGTTTGCAGACCATAATGTAATGAATCACATTTTGATGAAGCTTGATGTTTGTACATGAGATGAAAGACAATAAGTGTACATGGTCCTTATATTTGGCGTCAACAAATATGGATTTCATTTTTTTCTTAGGATAGTCCAAGGACAAAGGCACTTACAGAAAAATCCAACTGCAAGGATAGACTTTCGAAAAATACACAAATATACCCTAGAAAAAAACGCAAATATCAGAATTTTACAATCAAATGAAAAGTTTTCCCAAGAGTTCTGATAGAAGTGAAGTGAGTTGCGTTTCAATTTCTCTTAAATGCTGATTTCTCCTTTCCATTGAGATGCACTAAAAGAGACTTGCGGAGATGTTTCTCCATATTGGTATATATTTTCCTTTGAAGTGCATTTCCAGCCATTAACAACTTCTCGACTGATGGGGGGCATATATCATTGACCCCTGCAAGCATAACACAAGTGACCAGCGCACTAAAGCTCAGGGACAATGCAATAGCAGATGGTTAACAGTCTTCAGCCCCTTTGAAAAGAACACAACAGTTACTAACCATAATACTTCACAGACTATCACCAGTAAGATGTGATTCCTTAGTATCGACTATCTTCCCATGCAAAAACTACAGAATTTGATGTTATATGCATCGCCTCATGCCTTTCAAGGATCCTCAATCCTATATTCTCTTAGTGTTGACTGTAGTATGATTTGACCCAGAAAAGTGCATTAGCAGTTCCCAAGGTTGGTGGATGAAATGGACATAAGTGATGACACCCAGTCCCTTATCCAATCCTCTCCTAATGCCCCTCCACATCGAACAACCGTATAAACCATCGTTTCTTTCAGAGTTCCATCAGAGAGTATCAACACCACATCTGTGATCAGTGACCTCCATCTACAGAATTTTTTAGTAAGTAAAGACCATCCACAGGTTACATTCCTCGTTGCTAAACTTTGAAATTTATTTTCCAAGTGTGCTTGTTTAAACACAGAAATAGATCCAATACGTAGGCCACACTTTGTGATATCAGTCTCCTTTTCTTTTAAAGCGTTGTATTTTTTTTACGAAAGTTGTTTCCTATACTTTTTCTACAGCCTGATTAAAATTATACAGTACCTTATTATGTGGGTTGCTCTTGTTTATGTATTTTGTTATCTGGATTCATATTGCATTAGCAATGGTTGCTTGTTGTTTTCCTAGTAAACTTTTTGCACTTCAAACTCAATTTCTACTCTTTGATTCTGCATCCGCAGGACTTTACCTGAATCATTGATTAGAGAAGATGATGCAAGTGTTCTTTTTAATGCTTGCTGATGTAATGGCATGCTGCTATTCGAGGTTGATAAAACGTTCCTCAGTTTATTTTATTTTTAAATCCAGATGATACTGCTTATATGTAACTTCTGAAGCAAAAGAGTTTGAGTATTCATGCACTCTTTATTTTTGAAAAACCTTTTTCTTTGTTTGTATTGAATATTATCTGCTTTTTGTTAAACTAAGTTACAAATTCACCTCCCCCCCCCCCCCC